TGGACAGTATGCCGAGCTGCTAGCCATCTTGCGCGTCTCCGGCTTGCGGATAGGGCAACGACGTCCAAATATAGAGGTTACCTGCGACAAATACACAGTCGCGGACAAAAAACGGTTAGACTACCAGGACATGGTTGGTCTCTAGATCGACAAGTTTTGTCCTCTGAGAAAAAGTCACAATGCTAAAATGACAGTATAAGAGAAAAAAACTATCGGAAAAAACCAGGACTGCCTTGCAGTTAGACGTCAGTTCATCCAAGGCTAGAAGAGACAACCCGATTTTTAAAAATTGGATGCAATTGGGGGACCCATCTGTACGAAATTCGGCAGGCCACCGTCAATCCTGTCAGCGAGTAGGAAACCCTCATGCGCTACGACTACATCAAGTGTTGCGGCTGAAACGATTCATCACCGAACACCTGCGGCCAAAAAGATATAGGTGAAATAGGAAAATACTTGGTTGTTTTTTCTTGGAATCAAAAGAGAACTAGAATGTCTAAAATTCAAATTAATAGGATCAAGATAAAACAACCACCATGATGTTCTGGGATAGCTTTCGGTACCTCGTTAAATATGACCTGAAAAAGAAATAAATTTTTATTTCTTTACAATGTGCATTTCCGCCGTTTCAATCCGGTATCGTTACTTTTAATGTTATATATTTAATAGAACATTCATTTAACGAATTAATGATTTAACGAATTTTCACCTTCTAATCAGTTTTCCTGAAAAGAAAATCACACATCAGGGGAAATGAGAAATTAGGGGCAGGAATAGCAGTAAATGGTGCGGCGCGGCAAGAGAATTATGCTAGCGTCACACTTACGCTGTTCTTGCTTTGCGTCTAAGTTTCGAGCAACGACAACTTCCAGCAAATATGGAACTTCGATCATTGGAACATTCTAGAAGCAACAAACCATAAAATCGCAATTTACGACAATCACAAGGCTTACGTTTTTGCGAATGGAGAAATCATCAAAATAGATGTGGCGATAATCAGCTGGGATGCTGTCTTCAGAGCTTAAACGAGTTCCGTCGAACAGCATAAGATTTTCCAGTCGGACGATCAGATAATCAATCAGGAGATTCGAAGAAGCTAAAGTAATATTGGCAATTGATGTGCAAAAGTATTTTCACTACCGCAGCACCGAATACAAAACACTGTAGTCTCAAAGGGTCTCAGAGGTCGCAAACTGCATGGCGATCAAAACGTAAAAAAAGCAAAGATAACGTACATGATAAGAGTGTTGTAGAACGGGACAAAGAAACAAAATGTGGGAATGTCTTTCAAAGGTAGGTCACATAGAACTCCATGGAGCTTGTCAAAAGACTCAACTAACTGACTCAAGTACCTGTCAGTGTAGGTGTGAACTAATTAACCTGCAAAGAATCTTGCATTCGTACGAGTCATATGGAACTCTTTAAAGGGCAACCAAAAGATAATTTTCGTCACTGCGGTCGGTGAGGCCTTATGTAGTCATGGAACAGTCAGTGACGTGGAGCACCGCATTTTTCCGCGAGACGTTGGTACCTTCATCAAACGTGTTAAAAATAATTCCATTTTAGTTGTCGGCGGATAACGATGAAAGTAAGGTGGTAGGATGAAATACGATGGCACTTGATCCTCTTAGCCGCAGAAGTAGACGTGAAGGTCTGTCGTGTCAGTGGAAGAGGTTCAGGTAGAATAATATAACATCCTCACTGGCAGTGGTCATAATCATCCAATGGCATGATAGCGACTGCAACTGTCCAGCCGCTCAGCAAATCAGTTGTCTCCCGAGGAGGACAATGACTGCTTCTGATTCACTAGCAGCACCTGTTCATTTCGGAGCAACGTGGCAACTGCTCCAAAGAGAAACGGTACATAAAACAACCAATGAGAAGAACTACGACCACTACTTACGAACCAACAAATTTTAATGGCATGAGGACATTCTTCTGGTTTGGGCAACGGTCCCCCGTCCACTACACGAACAAAATGAGAATGTTGGTACTTTGAGGCACTATCAGGCATCTGATCAAAAAACTGAAACAAGACAACATGATGATGATATAAATACTGTCTGGATAACCACACTTCAGCCAACGGTTTAGCATCTTGAAATGAATTTGCCTTGTTCATCAATTACTTAATTATAGGATTGCACAATGAATATTGTGGTACCCAAACTTTTGTAATCTCTAGCTGTAGTATGACGGCTATCGACGTTTCAAGCCAGTATGATCTTCTGATAGTCCTGCTGTACGGCCGTTGTTTCTTCATACTGAATTCAAGTTACAACATCGATTGCATGGGTTCGTCCTGTGAATCGTTGCAGACACGAAGGCGAAACAGTTGCCACTCGCACGACCGACGGACAATCGAAGACCCAGGTGATTTTCAAGAATGACCTGCGGCAAGTCGCAGGCTCAGGTAACTTTCTGTCGAAACTCAGACGTTGGCACAGGATTGGAAACTTTGCACAACTGCCATACTATCTGAAGCAGTTATCTTCATAACCCAAAAGGGATTGAAAACCCAAAAGGACAATCGAAACTGGCTGATTAACTGAAGACATTTTGAACTTACATAGTCAGACTACTGCAGATTAATAGTTCACTGTTATAGGGCGTCACAGATAAGATATAGTACGAGAATAAATTAGCATTACTTCCTTACTCAAGTTTCACGCGAATATCTGCCACTTCTGTGACATTGTAAACCGTTTCTACGCCGTTTTATTTCACTTTTTGTTCCCGTTCCTACACCTGGTCTAAATGCCAGTTACGGTTCTGTTCATGGTGACGACCCTGAACAAGGTTTTTTCATGTTTCAGGATTTCGCGTCTTCTGGCGCTGTGTCCGTTTTTCCCTTCCTTCCTTACTATTTCATTCTCATTCTCCTAATCGCACTTTTCTTCCTCATCTTCTTACTGTTATCTGTGAAACTTTTCTGCTATATATCCAATTTCTGTTTTAAACGCCTAACCTTAATGCATTCTCGTCGGTTCGTTTTCAGAAATACTGTTCCAATTTTAATTTCACTCTTCTTTTTTCTTTCACATCTTGTTCTTTTCCTTTCTTGTCCTTGTTTATTTCAGACTCTTATTTTACTTCTTCCGAATCTTTTCGTTCATTTTCTGTAATTTTTAAATTCCACCTGTTCTTCTCCCTGTGCATATTTTCAAATGCATCTTTCTTTGTATTTCAATATATTATTAAAATTCTTTCTTCACCTATCCTGAATGTTCTTTGCCCTCTGAATTTTCATCTGCATTCAACAATAATCTTCCTGTCCATTCATCCTTGTTTTTTCGTTTCTATTTGATTGTGTTCCATCTTATCACCTCTGCTGTCTAAGTCATTTTCTTAAAAATTGTCAGTTACTAGTTCTATCGCACTTTCTCCATTGCCTTTTTTCCTTCCTATTCCCTTGGTTCCTCTTTACATCGTTGAGCTATTGCGTCTGTTTCCGCGACCGAAGGATAGGCGGCCATCGAAATTAGATGACTGACCGAGCCAATTTGTAAAAACGTTTTCTACTCTGGGCTACCAAAGAGTATAACCTTCATGAAGGTTTCACATGCGACTCAGGTTGGCTCCACAAATCCACTTATGCATTCCTGTTACTGCACTGTTGTTACTGGTGCTGTTTTGCAAGGTCGTCCAACATTCACGCATTCCACTTTGTTTAGAGCGCATTTACCTAACTAAAGGCTTGTCCTGTGAATTCAATAACCGAATGCAAATCTATCAGCCACCCAACAATTCCTTTTTAAAGTCAACACCTTTTGCTCCTGTGTAAGATACTGATTAATTAATTGACCTATATTAGAAGTACAAAGAAATAATGACACTTTAGCAAGTTTCTTAAAAAAATTAATATATTTTTAATTTTCTTCAACCTGGCTATTCGTCTTCTGACCAACTACAAAGGGAGCTTTCAATGCGGAAATACTGCTATCACTTCTCTGTATATATGTTCTACATATTCACTGATATTTGACATTGATTCGTGTATCGTTCTACAGTGCATGACAG